AAGTCCCCTTTGCAATAGAATTTATTCTACATTTGGCCACATAACAGTGAAAGTGCTCTCACTAGAAGAATTAGAGGTATCCACTTAACTTCTTTTTTTCAAATTAACATGGAGTGATTCCAGCAATAGATCACAACTTTATTTAACACTTTGTGTACCTAATTGAATCATTCATGTGGAGTATTACAATGAGCAGATTCCCAGAAATTGTTGCAATTTGACCATCTTATTGTGTGTTGCTGACCTAAGTTATTTACACACTCACTTCCATTTGATGAGTGTTTGACCATGTTTAAGCTAGTAGAATCTACATCCATTTGTCTGCTTCCATTTGATGATCTATCTGCAGATTTGCAGAAATTATTGCAGTCCTTTTATTCTGTGTTGCTGACCTACATAGCAGTTGTATACTTACACACTCACTTCCATGTTTAAGCTAGTAGAACTTACATCCATTTGTCTGCTTCCATTTGATGATTAAAGTTTTCTAGAATATAGTGTCCAACAGTTCAATAATGGTTTGAAGTTTGTGATTAGAAAGTACTTCATGGATGGAGTGATGTGAACATATCTCCAAGGATTAGAAAATTGATTCTTTCCAGCTATATTCACATAAAGCCATCTAAAATAAATGGAATTAGGGGTGTCAACACAGTATTTGAAAATCCAATTTCGAATTCGAGATTCAACATAATCGAATCGAATTCGGATAATTCGAATATCTAAGTCGAATTCGGATATCCTATTCATACCGAATAGCTAATTGGATTCGAGTTCAGATAGACCTGATTCAATTCGAAAAATATCCGAATTTGACCGATTATTTATTAATTTTATATATAATATATAAATTTTTTAAATATTTTTATATAATTTATATATATATATATAATAATTAAATTATATACATATTTTATATATTTATATATTTTATATATTTATTAATTACCTAAAAGAATTAATTAGTCGAATCCGAATCGAATATTCGAATATTTAATCGGATTTGAATTCGAATATTAATTTTCAATATCCGTCGGATATTGAATTTGTTAATCGGATTTGAATTCGGATATTGCCTGATTCGATTCAAACTTGATCCGTTTACACCCTAATTGGAATCACAGTTATTTCAAACCGATCAGCTTAGTGACCAACTTGTATAAGATTATTGCTACAGTCCTCTCCGCAAGGTTAAAAACAGTTCTTCCTACCTTAATCAGCCAGCAGCAAGGGACTTTTGTAAAAGGGAGACAAATAGGTGATCAAATCTTCATTGCCAATGAATGTGTGGAAGAAATGAAAAGAAAGATATAGGAAAGAGGGCTTTGTATGTAAGTTGAACCTTGAGAAAGCTTATGATATGGTGGACTGGGCGTTTTTAATTGAGATAATGGAATTTTGTGGTTTCGGGGAGAGATGGTGCACAATTGGATTCTTGGATGCATTAAGACTTGTTATTATTCGACTATGGTCAATGGGATTGTGAGAGACTTCTTTTCAGCTTGTAGAGGTTTGAGGTAGGGAGACCCCTGATCCCTTTCTCTTCACCTCCTTACCAACCTTCCAACCATTGAATCTATTCTCCCTTTCAGCCTTATAAATCATTCTACTACTCAAAACATCTGCAACTAGGGTGAAGAGAAAGGGTGATAAGGGGTCTCCCTGCCTCAAACCTCTACAAAATGGAAAGAAGTCTCACAATCCCATTTAACCATAATGACAAGTCTTAACCTTAAAATTAATCTTGAGAAGAGCTGTATTGGGGGAATTAACATAGAGGAAGGAG